GACTTACAGATGCTATCCCAATCTACGAGGCGCTTTTGAAGGTTGCGAAGAAGAAGTTCAGAGTCCAGATTGACCTCGCCAGGCTCTATGAAACCCTAGGAGACAAGGAAACGGCGGCGAAGATTGCGGAGGAGGTTTGGAACTCACGGCCTCAGACGATCTACCAACACCGATTGGGCCACTTGTTGGGGCGCGCAGACAAACCGTACGATGCGGATGAAGTCCCCGAAGCGCCTGATGGCCGACTTCTTGATCCTTCAGAATACCGCCGAAAGCCCGTGCTCCCGGGTCCACGCCGTCTACGCCCTCAGCCGTACCTCAGTCACATAAGGCCTGCACTTCGACCTGACAGCACGAGGGCGCTCAATCCAGACACGATGAAGGTTGTACAAGATATGTTTACGCAGCTTAAGGAGCTTCAGCCGGAGGTCGATGCTGAAATACCACATGCTGAGGCCGAGTGGATGCGTATAGCGGAGTTCATGATCGAACAGTTTGCTAGCGTCGACAAGCTCTATCCGAACCGAGACAAATTTAGGCCGTTTGCGGGATTCATCAAGAAATCTTCCAAAGGAGACTGGACTTCGGACACAATACCAGATGATTACAGCAATGTTCGTTTCGATGAGTGGGTCGAGATCTTCTGCCGCCTCGCTTTGCTGCAGGCCAAACTTGGCAAGAAGATTAAGCCAAGCCAAGAAGGGGATGTCGCTGCCATGCGTGACAGACGCGAGCAGCGCGAAAAGGATGAAGACGACGAAGGAGAAGACGAAGCCGAACCAGAGAGGCGAATCGATAGCGAATTGGCTGCCAGAAACGTAAGAGGTCGTCGTCAAAAGATTAGGAAAACGTCGTCAAACGCTGCATGTTGGCGCACCCTTCTCCTCGCTGAGAATGCGCATCCTTTCGTGCATAATGAAAAGCGTATGGCGCATATTCATAATATGTGGCTTGCGTGTGCATTAATTGACAACGACGAGCACAGCATTTGTCTCGAGTCTCGCCACTTCATAAACAAATACAAGTACCAATCAGACGCTTACAAGCTGTACAGCGCCGCGAATCGTCTCTTCTCGGGCGGAAGCAGGACTTGGCTGAACTCTGGTCCGAACCAGAAGTGGATATTACGGCAACTCAAAGCGGCGGATTACGCGTTACTGTCCCCGGAGCAGAGAATGAGTTACCTCTTCACCGGTCAAGAGCGGAAGGCCTTGGATAAGGTCGGCGGCAACCCGGAGAATATCGAGGAACTGGATCCTACGCTGCTAACCCTCTACGCACACGTCATGCTGGCCGGTGGGATGATGCAGAATGCGCTCTACTACTATTTCCGTGCGTTGGCCCTAGCACCTGAGGACCCGATCCTACATCTCTGCATCTCTAATGCCTTCATCGACCATGCTTTCAAGCGGCTCAATGAAAACAGGACGTACTTCACGCAGCAGGGCGTCGCGTTCATGATGAAATACTACGACCTTCGCACAAGGGACGGCATCAAGATCCACATCCAGGAAGCGGAGTTCAATGTTGCAAGGATGTGGCATTATCTGGGATTGGTACATCTGGCATTGCCGCGATATGAGAAGGTGCTGGAGATGCATGAGGAGGTTGAGAAAGAACAGAACGAGTTTAGACAGGGTAGGGGTGAGGAGGCCGAAAGCTTTGCAGCGGAGGCCGCGTACGCGTTGAGTACGACATTGACGATGAGCAGTGACGTTGCTACGGCGAGAAGATTAAGAGAGAAGTGGATGGTCATTTAAAATAGTACGAATATGGCGTTTGGGTGGCCAGCTCTCGACATATGATACCCAAATGGCAAGTCGGTATAGACATAACACAATGCATGCTGTATTTTGAGGTGTGGCGTTCACGTTGACTATCTGAATGAGATCAAAGATACTAGTCGAGTCGGTTCATCTTTACCAAATCTCTATCCGTTTGATAAATAAATATGCTGGTCGCCATAGGTTTAATTCCGTCAACGCGTTTCTTTATTGACTTCGCCACAAGGTTGTGGCTTAAATCCTCTCTGACGCGTGTTCCCGTGACCTAAAGGGGCTTGTGATCGAGCATCACATTGATTCACTTTGGGATCTCCTTAATCGTCGTATCATGACTTTGTGAATTTGTTATTGCTGTCGCCAAAGGCGACGATCGTCGAATCTCTATGTCCTCCCCTCTACGTCCCATTGCTTCACTTGTACTTCTTCTGCCCCAGCTTACTGCTCCTCACCAGCCACCTCACCAGCGTTCTGTGCCTCCTCTGCACCGCCAACAGCACCACCACACACCTTCTCTCCCACCGCCCTCTCCGTCCTCACCAGCAGTCCCTCCAGCGCACGCCGGCGCGTCCGGCAGCTCCTGGGTCCTTCCATGAGCACTTGCGTGCTCCTGCGAGTGCTTGGTATGCCGTTGGTCACCACACGTTGTGGCACCGACGCATACAGGAACGCAAAGAATCCGCTCGAGGGCGAGGTGACGCTAGACGGATCTAGCACAGTGCTGGAGGAGGAGGCGGCAGTTGCTGAGCTTGCACCTACAGTGGAGCCCACAGCAATGTTTATCTCGTGGATAGCGTGTGATTCGAAGAGGAAGTACGCGTTCCCTGGTCGCGTTAGTGTTGTGTACATTAACTCTCGAGTGAAAACATTGACTATTGACTTACGGAGAATGGCCTGCTTGATCGCATCATCTTGATCCTCGATTATGCGTGTGCGAGTGAGGAAGGGTTCTGTGCTAGCCGCATGGGGATCGGCGAGAATGTTACGATTCTGGCGGCGCTGAAAGATGAGCCTTGTTGGCGTGATGTTGAGCGGTGCCGGATAGAAGTTGCTCTCTTGAGTCGGATGGGCCTCGACTTCTGCGAGCTGGCCGTCGACGGATGGGTAGATTACTGTAGAAGACGGCGCGACAGTCTCAGTCGGCGTGGATCTTGTCATGGTGGTGTTAATGGAAGGCTCGTCGTGCTCTTCGAGGGTTTCCTCCGGGGGTTGATCGCTAGTAAGTGGCTCGCCATGCTCTTGAAGAGGTTCTTCTACTGGCAGCTCGCTGGTGGAGAGCTCATCATGCTCTTGGAGAGGTTCTTCCGTGGGCTGGTGTCTGGTGGAGCGAGCATCATCCAGCGCCATGAGATGGGCACGCGCCCAGCCTGAATGCATCGCTCGATCCTGGGCCTCGTCATACTCTTCGACACTTTCCTCTGAAACATTGTCGCCAGTCGGGGGGCGGGGCGTTCGAAGAGCCGGGTAGGCAGCCGCGTGCGCGGTTTCGCTCTGCTCGAAGACGTAATCAAGGCTCTCGAGAGGAATGGGACCGTCGAATTGTGCAATTACCATTCTGATACCGGGAGCTGCGGCCACGGTGGCGGTTCCTCTTGAGGGTGCATCTCGCAGCGCAGTCGAGACACGAAAAGCTTGGGCGGCCGGACCTGCACCTTCGATGGGACGGAGATTATTTTCGATGGCACGACGCAGATTTTCGCGAGCACGCGTAAGATCGTCCTCAGTTATAGGTGGTGGAGGCATCTTGATGTTGTTGCATTGAGGATGTGTTCGTTGTGAGGTTGAAAAGAAGAAAGCGTTCTTGAGTTGAGATCGAAGAGGTGTCACTGAAGTATAAACTTCGGGAGATTGCACATCAATGTGCTGGGAAGCATGCCTGGACTACAGCCAATCAGAAAATTTAGCTGCAAGGCACAACTGGGTGTTGTGGTGAATGTTACACGGCTATTCGCGGCGTCTTCTACGAATAAAGTAAAATCAGCGTGTTCTGAAACATCCAACACTCGAGCCGATAGTGGGGACAGATTGCCATTAGTCGCAATATCCAGTATTATTAAAATATCTGCGTTTGCATTGAGTCAGAAAAGCCGCGGAAGACACATCGGATTGATGAGCATGTATATACCTTAAGGACAATGTCCGTAAAGACGCTTAGCTTCAGAGCAGTGGATTGTCTTGAGCGATATCGGTGATCCTTAGGCTCCAAATGGCACACCCAGTAGAGGAAGGTGGTAAACGTATGTGGCCATTATATATAGCCAATTCGATTTTGTCATATCTTCATGCCGGTCAGAGTATCCCCAATTTATCGCTCTTATAGTTAGCAACGTTCAAATCTTTTGTTCTCTCGTTCTCTCGTTTCTTGATCCTTTTCATCTGTCTAAAAGAAATTAGCAAATCTTGATCTCATTGTAGCAAATGAAGTAGCGGATGCATACCGGACGGTCTCCATATCCACAGCGAACAAGCAAACAGCTCGCAACATGGAGGCCAATCAACAACTCCAAGTCTCAGGAATACATCAAAACTCAGACGACGCTTCTGTATAAATCGGCATCACTTTCTAGAGAAACGACCCTCCAGACGAGAATTTTGCGAAATTAATGCGACGGGCACTGATGTATAGAGTACATCCAGTAGAGAGTTCCCAACCTCTGCTATCGACAACCAGACAGTGCAACAGGGCTCTATACCTCTCAGAGCTTAAAATATCAAAGAATGTAGAGCTTGAATTCCTGATTGGACGTGATTGTCTTCTACTTACGACGTCGCTTGTCGTGCTCTCTTTGTCTGTTTGTGGGCTTGCTGCAAGTGCGCAGTTGCTCTATTGGTGATAATCTTTCTCGTCTGCCTCTTCACCAATGCATCAATAAATGTTGAGCAACAGAGGTTTAGAATGCCTACTACTTCGTTGCTGGCGGTTTGAAAGATTCTTGCCGTCGTTGACGTTCAGTTTCAGGGGGGCCAAACTTCGGCACTCACATCCCACCAGAACTTTGAAGCCCTTCCTCCGCATCCGCCAGTCACACAATCTATCCTCTCACACGCTCTCAAATTTCTCATTGTTGTAAATTCCATTCTTCCTACTACGCAAGATGTTGGGCCTTTCATCCATTTCTTCTCCAGAGATAATTTACATCGGAACACAGAATGATAAATTTACTCACTATATCTATTTTTCTTACTGCAAGAATTGATCAACTTTGTTAAAAAAAGGTGGACATAGTGCCAGAGTGGTTAATGGGTTAGACTTGAATCCCTCGCGGTTTAAGCGATCTAATGGCTTCGGCCTCGCAAGTTCGAATCTTGTCTATGTCGAAATTTTGCTTTTCGTCCCATCTCAATTTTTTTTTCTCGGATTTTTTTGGGTTAGGCAACATCCTATGAGGGTACAAGTACAGCAAAATATCGAACTCACTCTTTCTGTGGAAATGACGGTCATAGGTATGATAGACGGCAGGGGCGGATGGGATGGGAAGTGCATCGACAGTTCGCCCTGATTGGCTGGCGCAACCTCTTTGAGGCGTCCCACGCGCGTCAACCTGTCTGACTACATACACCACACGTGTTTCCGGAATCGCGCTGAATTAACGGTTGTTAACGCTGAGCTCACAGAAGTCACTCCTTTCCAGCGTGTGATCCACGCGACCAGCCTGTGCGCAAGGCGGAGATCTCGTCTGACCCTTCACAGCCACCCTGTTTGACTCTTCTTTTAGGCCTCCTTAGCCGTTGAAGCTGTATAATATCTTTCAGAGTATCTTTGTCTCGTCATTTGGTCTTCGCATATAGCGTGGGCATAGCGGAGCGTTTCTCTCAGCGAACAGTTATATGAATTTGTTTTTCTTCTGCGGGCTCAGCGCACCTCGCTATGTTATCCACGAACTTCAGCATCATACGAACTGAGCTGCTTTCAACGCTCCCTTCAAAAGCTTCGGCCGCCCTGCACGACATGGCTTGTGGAATCCCCTCGATCAACAAGCTTGCGAGACTTGCATTTGGCGGAGCTCAAGTTATCCTCAACAACAATCCAACGGTCAGCGGAGGCAGTCTGCAGGCATGCTCCAACCCTCAGTTGAGCTGTCAAAATACTACGACCGTGGAAAATCTTTGCTGCTTTAATCATCCCGGCGGCCAGCTGCTGCTGACCCAATTTTGGGATACGCACCCTCCCACTGGACCAGAGGACAGTTGGACCATTCACGGATTATGGTACGTATCATCAGAGTATTCATACACTTACTCTCGGAGTCTAACACATGGCAGGCCTGATCACTGTGATGGCACATTTGATGCTTCTTGTGACCACAGGCGCAATCACAGAAACATTACGCAGATATTGCGCGCGTTTGGAAAGCATGAGCTTCTAACTGATATGCACATGTACTGGAAAGATTGGAAAGGCAATGACGAGTACCTATGGCAGCATGAGTTCAGCAAGCATGGTACTTGCATCAGTACGCTTAACCCGGAATGCTACGACGAGTATGAGCCGACGCAGGAAGTGCCGGAGTTCTTTCAACGGGCGGTAGATCTATTTAAGGACCTTCCGACCTATCAGGTAAGGTTGCCAGTGAGAGTGTGATATGATGGCTAAGACTGTTTGCAGTGGCTCGCCGAAGCGGGCATCGAACCTTCATGGACGAAGAGGTATACCGTGCATGAAATCCAAGCGGCACTCTCGAAGCACCGCAATGGAAGCACCGTTACGCTGGGTTGCAGACGCGGTGCCCTCGATGAGATCTGGTATCACTTCAACGTCCGTGGTTCCGCTCAATATGGACAGTACCTTGCCTCGGATCCGGATGGTATGAAGTCCAGATGCCCAGATTTCGGCATCAAATACCTTCCAAAATCAACCGGGAGAGTTGTTGGGAGCACCAAGAGGAGGTAACTTGCGCATTCCATTCTCGAGCGAGACCGTTACAGTACCACCCTCGATCAAGGATATCTTAATTCCAAACTGCGCTGGTTTCGCCGAGAGACTAGGAATGTATCACTTGGGTAGGAACTTCTTATTTGAGTGAGAATAGTAGATCATCGATCTAGAAGGTCTGGGATATATGGGCGTAAGTGCATGAGAACCACCACTATCAGGCTTCCTGGAGAGATTGGAAACAGGCGGAATGGTGTCAGAACATTGCGGGGGATTCATATTCCCACCTCTATCATACAGTAGCTTTATCTTTGTAAGCATAGATGAGAGCGTCGTTATCCGCCTATGGCCGGGACCACCAACGCCGCTGGCTTGAGCTCAAATGGCTGGCGTTTGGGTGATTGCTCTTTATTTGTATCATACTGTGGACTCTAAAAGGTTTAAATTGAGCTATAGCACGTATTTCTAGAGTCATATTAGATACCTTTTCCGCGGACAATTGGCCCCTATAAAAGGCCTCGGTGCAGCGCAATTGGATCTAGCTCGCACCGCCCCATCCTTCCCAGGCACACAACTTCAACTTCCACGTCAACTAAAATATAGCGATATGAAGACAAAATTCTACTTCTCATTACTTCTGCTTTCCAGCTCCATCTATGAGCCTCCGTGAAATCTGTCATTATGTTCTCACGGTTCACTAGCGCGCCTCAGAGCAACCAGACCTCTGGTCCACGAGAGGTCACTCTGACCAGCATTCTCAACACGCCGGCATTGAAGCTCGAGTTCGCGCTCCTGCTCTTTGTGTGCATTGATTGCATGCGCAAGGAGCTTGTCGCAAACTTTGAGATCGATCTATCGATTCCTACAAGCTCCCAGACCAGTTCTCCGGCGGGCTCTTCGACGCGTCCAGCGCAAGAGGATGAAGCTCCTCCTCCCTACTCACCACGCTCCTACAACCCCACAGACGCATGGGATTTGATGAATTTCGATGAGCCAGCATCTCCAGAACCTCCGAGGGATCGACCGCACCCTCTGATATCCCACGAATCCGAGCACAGAACGAGTTCTCCGTCTAATCGCCCTCTCAAACCCTACGAGCAATGGGATCGTGAGCAATCTTTCGTGCGCCTCTCCCAAAGCCTCGCATCTCCCGAACTCCAAGGCTTTCGCCGAGCAGCACTCACCTTCTTCGACGCGTGGCGCATCTCAGTGTTGCGTCGCATAGGAGCGACACTGGGCGTTTTGGGCGATACTGTTAGGAAAGAGAAGCTCAATAGGGAAGCGCGTGGAGTATACCGATTTTTTGAGAAGGGGCAGGATGGCAGCTATGGACACTACAGGCCTCTACATACGCGGCTTCAGTTTACAGACTCACAGAGGAGCGTGCTGCTGCAATCGGCGTTGCTCATGCTTCTCGGGCTTGAGAACTATTCCGCCCTTTCCAGAGTACTGTTGTTGCACCTCGCTGCCAGTCTGAAGCTGCCACTGTCGACTCTCACAGAGCACGAGGCGAATGCAGCGACGGTTTTGCTCACCAGCACCTCATCTAACACTCCTCAACCACCACATCCGGCGGAGTCATCCAATGCCCCGGCATCCTCAAATTTCACCTGGAAGAGCGGTCTCGCTGTCGTGGGAGGTGCTGCCCTTATTGGTGTCACGGGTGGATTGGCCGCACCGTTGATAGCTGGAGCACTAGGAGTTGTTGCCGGACCAGCTTTGGGTTTATTGCACCTCGGTGGTCTGGCACATCTGCTCGGTGGTCTCATTGGTAATAGTGTGCTGGTTGGCACCATATTCGGAGTGTATGGTGGAAAGAGACTGAGCGAAGTGGTGGAAAAGCTAGGCGGTGAAGTTGAAGGATTCGATTTAATTCCATTGCGACCACCGGAACCTATCTCGACATTAACCGGAGGCCAGACCACTGAAAGACCGCAATCGGAGAAAGCAGCCGAAATAGCTCAAACAATACCGCCTGAAGATCCGCCAGATCCGCATCTCAACGTCACAATCGCCATCGCAGGCGCTCTCGCCCAGCCGTCTGATTTCTCCACTCCATGGCTCGTTCTCCCAAATACTACCAACCTCCTCGCTCTCCAGTACGAGCCTGGGCTTCGCCTCTCTCTCGGTGCCAAAATCACTTCACTCGTCCGCAGTACAGCATTTTCGGCTGCATCCGCTCTCGTGTTGCAAAACACGGTCTTCGCCACGCTCATGTCAGGGTTGTATCTCCCACTTGGGTTGCTCAAAGCAGCGAGTATTCTGGACAGCCCCTTCAATATTGCACTGAGTAGGAGTGACAAGGCGGGGATATTGCTCGCCGAAGTACTGATGGCAAAGGCGCAGGGCGAGCGGCCTGCGCGGCTGGTTGGCTGGGGTGTGGGTGCTAGAGTGGTATGGCAGGCTTGTTTGGAGTTGAGCAGGCAGAATGCATTCGGACTGGTTGAGGACGTGATAATGATGGGTTTACCAGGACCTGGAGTGTCGGGTGATAAGAGAGAGACGGGGAGCGAGATAGAGTGGAGAAGGATCAGGGGTGTAGTCGCAGGGCGTGTGATCAATTATTATAGTAACAATGACTGGGTCTTGAGGTTCTTGTACAGGCTGAGAGCGGGCCTTGGAGCGGTCGCTGGATTGGAAGAAGTGCACGCAAGGGGCATTGAGAACTTCGATGCGAGCGACTTGCTGAGCAGTGGAGGATATGCGGCTTGTACGGGCAAGCTGCTGGAGAGGATGGGGTGGGAAGTCGATGAGGAGGAAGTGCAGAAACAAGAACATAAGAGAAGAGAGGCGCTTGAGCGAGAGCAGATCAATGAAAGGCGGCGCCATGGGGAAGTTCAAGTTGGCCTAGAAGGTATAGGAAACAAGAAGGGCAAGATAGAGATGGTGAAAGAGGAAACTGGAAAGATAGTCCTGTTGGATCTCGAGACTGGTGCCCTGGATGAGACAGAGCAAGATGCGACGGATGCGGCGGAACGTTTAGAAAGCCTCGCGCTTCAAGACAGAGGGCAAGAGGAGCGGGGCGAAGCTGCTCGTTCTCAAGACGCGGCGGCTAATGCTGAGGTCAATCCAGGCGTTCAAAAGCCGTCAATACCACCTCTGGGGTCGACACCACAGGACACTCCCGAAGACAATCCGGAAGATGAGCACGACGGTTCAGGCATGGCATATCTAGCACCGGAGCCAGAGCCGGAACCGGAGAGCGTCTCGTTTGGAGCTCCTGGGAGCGGCATCAATATGGTCTGGGAGGGGCGATAACCTATTCGAAGCGTCACGTACCCGCATGATTGAGTGCCAACTTGCTGCATGTGTATCGGTGTGATTAATATGTACAGATTCAAATTCGAAGAGCAATATATTAACATCATGATACAGCTCCAAACAACTCGTCAAATTCATCCTCAGCCTTCTTCCAAATATCAGTCCCAAAGATCATCTTTTGCAC